AAAAAAAAAAAAAAGATTTAAATAGATACACATATTTTTAACAGTTTTAAGAGGTAGGGGTGGGTGTGTGGGTGTGTGTGTGTATGTGTTTCACATAATATAAAATTTAGAGTGTACAATTCACAGGTTTTTATATATTCAGAGTTGTGCAACCATCATCATAATATAATTTTAGAACTGGCTAGATGCATTGGCTCATGCCTGTAATCCCAGAGCTTTGGGAGACTGAGATGAGAGGATTCCTTGAGCCCAGGAGACCAACACAGTGAGACCTTATCTCTACAAAAAGTAAAAAAATTAGCTGCATGTGTGGTGCACATCTGTAGTCCTGGCTACTTAGGAGGCTGAAGTGGGAGAATCACTTGAGCCCAGGAGTTCTAGGCTGTAATGAGCCATGATTGTGCCACTGCACTCCAGTGCCTGGGTGACAATAAACCTTGTCTCTTTAAAAAAAAAAAAAAAGAACTCTTACCTATTAAAAATATGTGTGTTTTTATTATATAGTAATATATACATATTCTAGAAAATCATGGAAAATAAAACAGAAATAACTAGTATTTTCTGTAGACCTCCTAACCAGATACTACTACTTTGTATGTATAGATTTTTGTTGTTGTTGTTGTTTCTGAGACAGGGTCTTGCTCTGTGGCCCAGGCAGGAGTGCAGTGGCTAGTCACAGGCATGATCACAGTTCACTGCAACCTTGAAATCCCAGGCTCAAGTGATCCTCCTGAGTAACTAGGTCTATAGATGTGCGCCACCATGCCTGGCTAATTAAAAAAATTTTTTTTATAGAGACAAGGTCTTGCTATGTTGCTTAGGCTTGTCTTGAACTCCTGGCTTCAATCGATCCTCCCACCTCAGCCTCCCAAAGTGCTGGGATTACAGTTGTGAGCCACCATGTCTGCTCAGTTTCTAGATAATTTTTTTAAGCATAGTTTGTAATTGTGCTATGTTCTATATTTTGCTTTTCCCTCCTAATACTGTCTAGACATTTTTCTGCTTGAGTAGCCTTTAACAACTTTTTAAATGACTGTGTATTGTCTGATAAACCATAATTTACTTAACCATTTTCTGTTTTTTTTTTTCTCGATTACATAATGTTTAGTGAATGTCTTTGTGCCATAGTTTTTCTTATATATTCATTCATTCATTCAGTAGGTGTTGACCATGAGTTATGTACCAGGTGCTGTGTTAGGCTCTGGGGACACAAAAACAAATGAGAAATTCTTGATGATTAGTCCCAAAAAGCATCTGAGATGCCCAACGGGCATTTGGTCTATGATTTCTCATTACAGTAGACTTCCAGAAGTGTGTTATTAGTCAGACAAAGGATATAAAGTGAGAGATTTTTCAACCGCTCCCTCCAACATTTTTAACATTTTAAAATCACAAAACCTATACTTGATAATTTAAAAGTTGTT